AAAAAAAAAAAAAAAGGCAGGATTAAGGAGAACTTTCCAAATGCTTACTTTCTACAAAGATAAATGTTAAATTCTTTTTGTGAGGTCATCTCTGTACCTAAATAGGCCAGAGAATTAAGCTGCTGCAGCCTGGAAGAGACTAATCTTCAGATGAAGTGACAATTGCATAAATTATACAGACCTCCTTTCTATTGTCAGGAAGTTTTAACAATGAGTTCTACTGTTAGAATAACGACTTCTCCATTCCCTTCAAAAATCACTAATATCTTGGCATTTTCAGATTTTATTTTAAAATGTTAAAAATTATATCCAAATAGGCATACAGTTTACAACAAATGTCTATGATGAACTGAATTCCTTCATCAGAGGTGACCAACATAAGTGAGACCGCTGAGGCCCCCACATGTGGAAATATTTGAAGATATGGGAATCTCACTGGACATTATCATCCGTGCAAGTCCCTGACATGAAATGGCACCGTGCTTGCGTGCAGCCTAGGCACATCCTCCTTCATATTTCAAATCATTCCTAGATTACTCATAATACCAAACAGAGTGTAAATGCTACGTAAATAGTTGTTGTACATTATCATGTAGAGAATAAGAACAAGGAAGAAATGCCTGTACGTGTTCAGTACAAATGCAGCCATCTTTTTTATGGGAGGGGCACGGATATTTTTGATCCAAGCTTGGTAGAGCGTGAGGATGCAGGACCCACAGATACAGAGGGCTGAATAGATTTCACACACACACATTTTGCTTTGCCCTATTCAACCACAAAATAAAGGGAACTCAAAGGCCACCGGGCAAGAGGGAGCTGACTTGCATGGAGGCCAGAAAAGTCTGGGGTCCAGATTCACCCTCAAGGTGGTAAAGCTTTAATACCTACCAGAGAACAATCGATGTGACTTCAAGCTTGCTGTGGACAGGACGAGGCTAAAATAAAATCTGAATTCTATACAAAGCCCAGAAATTCAAAGAAGTGCCCTTTCTAGAAATAAAATAAAACTGAAAAAAAGTCTTGACAGCATGTCTGTGAGGGTAACAACGAGCCAGTCCAGAGGTGGGTGGCATCGAAGATTAATAGGAGTGGAAAGCCTGGACCCAGGCCCCACCAGGCATGGGAGCCCCAGGCTGAAAATCACCAAGGCTTTCAGTGCCTCCAGCATTTCTGCAAAAGGCTCTCTAGGGACATTTCCAAAGACAAGGACACATGGGATTCCTAGAGCAAAAAAGCAGCCTCAATCAATGTGAGCTTGCATGAAACAATTTTAAATATATATTTTAAAAAATGGAATCCACTCAAAGAAAGTCAGGAAGAATCAACAAAAGTAACTGGTGGAAACATTAGTACCTCAAGAAACAGAAATCTGAAATAAACCACACAATGAGTTGGTTTTAAATACAGACCATGAAGTCTATAACAGAGGAAAAGGCAGAAGATTCCTGAAGCAATGGTGAGCACGAAGAAGTATCAATAGCTTGATCAATCTCTAAAATCTTTTTAATGTTGGGGTTTCAAAAAATGTTTAGAACTAAAATATTGGTCAAAGGTGATATGGAAGGAAAAGATGAGCATTTAAATGAAGAAAGTGGCTGTGTTGCTTGAGAATAGGACAGAGCTCCTGATTCACTTTAGATTTGGGTAAGCAATATGCGATGAGTAGAAATGGAAACACAGGCGGGTGCAGTGGCTCAGGCCCGAAATCCCAGCATTTTGGGAGGCCGAGGCAGGTGGATCACCTGAGGTCAGGAGTTCAAGACCAGCCTGGCCAACATGGAAAAATCCTGTCTCCACTAAAAATACAAAAATTAGCCAGGCGTGGTGGTGAGCACTTGTAATCCCAGCTACTCAGGGGGCTGAGGCAGAAGAATCACTTGAAACCGGGAGGCAGAAGTTGCAGTGAGCCGAGATCGCACCACTTCACTCCAGCCTGGGTGACAGAGTCAGACTCTGTCTCAAAAAAAAAAAAGTAATTCTTTTAATCTCTTTTGTCTTAGAGTCAATTTTGTCTGGTGTTAATATTGTGCATCATCTTTCTTTATCTTTCTTTCTTTTTTGAGATGGAGCCTTACTCTGTCACCCAGGCTGGAGTGCAGTGGCACAATCCCGACTCTCTGCAACCTCTGCCTCCTGGGTTCAAGCGACTCTCCTGCCTCAGCCTCCCGAGTAGCTGGGACTACAGGCATGTGCCACCAAACCTGACTAATTTTTTATATTTTTAGTAGAGATGGGGTTTCACCATATTGGCAAGGCTGATCTTCAACTCCTGACCTAGTAATCTGCCCACCTCAGCCTCCCAAAGTGCTGGGATTGCAGGCATGAGCCACCGCGCCCAACACTATTTTATGAGTTTTAAAATTTTTTAGGGTCAGGGTCTTGTTCTGTCACCATTCCTGGAGTGCAGCAGCACAACCATAGCTCACTCTAGCCTGGACCTCCTGGGCCACCACAACTGGCTGATTTTCCAAAACTTTTTTAGAGACAGAGTCTCACTGGGTTGCCCAGGCTGATCTAAAGCTCCTGGCCTGAATGAAGTGGTCCTCCCTACCAGGCCTCCCTAACTGCTGGAATTACAGGCATGAGCTGCCAAGTCTGGCCAAGAATTCTTTTTTTTTTTTGAGACGGAGTTTCGCTGTTGTTGCCCAGACTGGAGTACAATGGCACGATCTCGGCTCACCGCAACCTCCACCTCCTGGGTTCAAGCAATTCTCCTGCCTCAGCCTCCCGAGTAGCTGGGATTACAAGCACGCACCATCATGCCCAGCTAATTTTTGTATTTTTAGTAGAGACGGAGTTTCACCTTGTTGACCAGGATGGTCTCGATCTCTTGACCTCATGATCTACCCGCCTCGGCCTCCCAAAGTGCTGGGATTATAGGCGTGAGCCACCGCACCCGGCCTCAAGAATTGTTAAAAGGAACCATTCCACATAGAAGACAAAACAATCCTACGCCTGAACATATGTTAACAATATAGCTGCGTAATACCCAAGAAAAAAATGATAGGGTGTATAATTCTCCTTGTAAGAGCAATTTCAGATCTACAACCATCTCTCAGAAGCTGAAAGGCTAAGCAAAGACAAATATGAGTAATGATTCCGAAGATTTGAACTACAGAGAAATAAACCAGAGCCAAGTACACGTAAGAGCTCTGCACCTGAGAGACAGTCCTTCTAAGCTCGCAGGAGACGCCGACATCAGCTGAACACGCCCTGGACTACGGAATCAACCCATCTGCCTCCATCCCACACTCTGACCGTGAAGGGGGATGTGGGGGCTGGGGAGAAAGCTGCCAAGTATGACAAAGACTCATTTACAAGTTCTCACCTTCATAACAGGACTCCCCACAGTAACAGTGAGAGTGACACCAAATGTTGGCTAGACCGGACTTCACCTTTTAACACCACTTCACACTCAGGTCCAAATGGCACAAATATTTTCCGGATCCTAAAAGAGAAAGAAATCCAAATTGAAGGTCCTTGTATCTAATTATTTTGGCAAGTATTTCCTACATATTTCCTTTGTCCAAAAGACCGAGCTAGGTGCTGAGGATATGAATGATGTTCCCACCTTTAGAGCTTATGCTTCAAAGAATATAGACAAGGAGAGAGGCGATCACAATGCCATGTGCACAGGGGGTGTCAGCAGCCACGGTGCTGCCGGAACGCTGTTTATAAGAAGTCTGGGAAGAATGGAGGAAAGTGTCCCAGAAGGAGCCAGCCCAGGGAAGCTGAGGACAAGCAGTCCAGGCACAGGCACTCACACTGGTGTGGGCAGGACTCCTCTTCTTCTGTAGGGTCCTAAGAGCAGACTGAGCACACAAGAGAGTTCTGTAACCCAGGCGGGGGGAGAAGCCACGTGTGTCTCAGAGCAGAGTGTGCTTCAGGCGAGGGTAATACAAGCCGGCTCAACACCTTGACAAGGGAGCTCTGGCTGTAAGTCAATATTCACTTATGGTTTGAGGGCCCAGAATTCATGGACCTGGAGAAGAAATGAAGAAATATATCTTAACAGCTGACAAAGTCAACTACAGGTATTGATCGACTTACCACCTATGCAACTTACGACTATTCGACTTTACGACCACAATCGCTAGCCACGACTGCTCCGCGTCTGGCAGCGCAAACGTTGCCCAGCTGGGCGTACGACAGTGCGGACCAGCTTCCGGCAGCACTACCATCTCTGCCTGCACCATTTCAACTGTACATATAGCCTACTCAACTGACGACCAAATCGTGTTACGACCGGTCCGCGGTCCCGACCGTGGTCGTAAGTCGAGCACTAGCTGTAGTAGCTTCTGGGAGGAAAAGAAAAGGTGAATGAGAAACATCAGTACACCGTGGCAGTGGGGACAAAAAGCCAGGCTCATCGCTGAGGTCCTGCAGCCCCACGCCACCCTGCCTGTGATGACAACTCTGGCCACCCCTCCCTTGTCACTCTCAGTGGGGACCTTCTCTTCTGCTCCCCACTTCCAAAGACAACACCGTTCCATTCACAGACTCCTGGGCACCTCTAAAAAGACCTTTCACCTCAACCCTTTCCTTCAATCACCTGCTTTTCATCTAAGCTGAGGATCTGAAAGTAGAGAGGAAAAGCCAGGAAAGGGGAGGTGGGGAGGGCAATCTGATTTTACCAGGTAAACAAGGGCCACTAAGAGCAGCGAGGGAAGACTAAACCTCTCCACCAATGCTGGTTTGCAAGTAGTGGTCACAAAACTGGGACACTGAAAAACAGTAGCTGCTGCCCCTCTTCCCTTCCCCACTCCCTGCCATCCAAATGGTCGTTGTAACCAGGAAAGATGTGGAGTCTGGAATCACAGCAGCTACAACTGAGCCTGTGAGAGACTCTTGCCTTCAGAGTTCATGCTAAAACTGCATTTCCAGGTATTTCAAAAGCTTATGTAAGGCAACTGACAGATAAATTAGAAAAAAAGACTCCCCTTACCAAGTGAAGGCAGAGTCCCAAGATTGACTTGTTTCTCTCCTTCTTTCTTTTGATAAACGACAATAAGTCACATTCAGTCCCATTTTACAACATTAACAAGTAGAGGGACCAGGATCTCTGAGCTTTCAGTGATTGTAATAATAGTGCTACAAACAAATTTGTATGATTTTATAAATAAATAACAATGAAATATAAATAATGACACAAAAAGTAAAATATTCAGATTCAGTGTACATTGTAACATGTACTATGACAAAATGGGGCCTGAGGAGAAGATCCATGGCAATGCCGGTGTGAGGTGGAAAGGGGCAGGGAGAGCCTGGCCCTGAGAAAGGAGAAATCAAGCACTGACTCTGAGTGCAACTGTTACATCAAAGAAGAGCACCCGGGAAGGCTGCCTTCTCCCCACTGACGTGGAGCTGAGGACCCCGATGCCAGCTGCATTGAGCACAGGAAGGTGGGTCTGGGAAGCTGCCCCAACACAACAGGCATGGGGAAGCGTCCCCTCCTCAGGCACTCAGACACTCCCTGGGTGAGAATAAGGCACAAAGATGCAAGTGACTACAGACCCCTGACCAGAGCTCAATCGGTTCAATGACAATGAGTCTATGAGACGGCCTGTGTGTTGCTCAGAGCTACAGTTCAAAGTGATCCAGATGCAGGAGTCCTTGTCACTGCCTGAGCCTTGGCAGAGGCCAACAACAATTTTTTCCTGCCTCCATCCAGCCCGGGAAAAACAATTAAAATTACATCGAACTCACCATTATAGCTACTGAATTCTTTGGTGTCACTGTCAGTCATGTCTTCCTGTTTTCTCTCACAAATCATAAGCCACTGCTTAACCTAAAAGAAAACCACACAGGCTCTAACTTTCCAGATGTGGAGCCTATCTGACTCAAATACTACCACCTGTCTTTGCCCCATCGTCACGCAGTTGCTCTGGAGGGCAGAGAAGACAGCACCCCAGTAGCATGTGTACCATGTCAGGAAAAGCACCACTCCCAGCTATGGGGGTGCGGTGACCACCAGCAAGCGAGCAGCTGCCCCACAGATGCACCTGAGGGAGCTGCTTCTCCACCGCAACAGCCACCCAGAGACTCACAGGTGGAAGCACTCACTCACTCTGTGATTCAACTCTAAACGGGACATCTCCTCGGTGAAATCATCATAAAACTGCAACAACAGAGCAAAACAGAGGTAAGGAAGACAAAGCCACAGGCAGCCTGTCACCTGCATAGATGCTTGGGGTGTTTTAAGCCATCTTCAAGAATGTTTGCACAAAAAATATGTTGGGGTGCTCTCAGTTTAAGACAAAGCACAAAGCTTACAAGAAATTAAGGCCAACCAGTAACTCCATGAAACAAACTAGCTTTGTGGGGTCATTTGAAAAAAGTTCAACTATTAAATAACAACAACAACAAGAGCAAAAGCATCTCACCCCATCCTGATGTCACTCTTGAATCCCGTGGTTCCTTTCCGCAGTTTGAACCAACAGACTGCACAGGAAAGGGTTTCGCTGTGCTTAGCAGGTTCCCATGTAAGGCATTAGAATCTGGGTTGCAGATGGAAGAGGAACCCATCCATCCAGAGACAGTATTTGGTCCCAAATTCCCAGCCACAGAGTTCTGCACATGTTCTCCCATGACAGCTGGACAGGGACAGCCTCCTGAGAAGCCACAGACTGTGGCACTGCCAGCCTGGCACTGAGGCAAGGCGACACTTTCAGCTGAAGGGAATGTTCTTAAATTCCTCTGGGTGAAGGACACTGTGCCGGGAGGGGTCACATCAAGAGTGCAGGCATGGCAGCAGGCATGTTCCGCATCTCAGCTGCAGAGCCATGAATGGTTCCACTGGGAACAGGTCCTGGTCTCTGAGCTCACTACTTGCAGCTAACAGAGCTGTAGAGATGATTCCTCGATCTTCATCCACAGTCCCCCAGTAGGACATAGGGAGGCGTGAGTGGCTGATCCCATCTGATGACTCAGACCTGACTTGCTCAGGAGAGCCGGCCTGACTGGGTCCACTTCCTTGAGGCTGGAGGTCAAGTCCACCTCACTGGGTTCCAACAGATGTCCACTTTTGGAGGAGGGATCTTCACTTGATCGAAGGTTGGGTTTCCATCTTTAGGCTTGCTACTCAGAGAAGCAGTTTCAGTCATTATTTCATAACAGAGTTTTTTGGATGAGAGATGGCAATGTTCCTTTTCCTGTGTTCTGAAATGAAATCTTTTCTCTCAGTTTCTCCACAGCCTGTTCCTCTGATGGGGCTGGGCTGGCTGGAACAATTGTGGTGCTCGTCTCGCTGGTGAGATCACTCTGACTGTGACAACATTTCTAAAAATAATCAAGATAAACTGAATATCAGAAATTCAAGTCATGCTGGTATAAACTCAGATAATGTAATAAAGAAATCTACATGGGTTATCTTTCTGAAATAGATGTGGTCTACACAAAAGAGTTACCTTGCAACTGGGAAATGCAGGCTATTAGAAAGTTTACATTTGTTTCTTTGTAAAAAATATAATATGAAGGAAATAAGCAGGAGATATACATCAGTTGTATCTGAAATTTACATAGATAAAGGACGAGAGGCAAGTAAGTTTTTGAAAATTTAAGAAACTTGTGTAAACTTTATAATGAAAATCTAAATACATTAGTCATGAGGGGGAGTGGGGATCAGAGGCGCAGCCGGATTGCAGGCCCTCCCCCCCCGCATCTGTCCCTGCTGCTGCCTGTGCTTGAGGAGTCAAAGATGTTGGCTCTTACATGCACTCATCCCTCTCCTGTGTCTAAATGTGTGTGGTTCTATTAATGCATGACTTATCGCTGTAATTCCACACCACTGGACATTTGGGGGAAGCTTAGTATAAGCAGTGGATAGAATAATTTCTCCTCTGGCTCCTTCTAAGCCTGTTCACAATCAGGCTGGGCTTGGCAGTGAGCACTGTGGCTCCTTCCAGTTACAGAGGAGCCCAGGCCCTGGGGGTGGCAGCACGGCGTCTTCACAGGCTAAGGCTCCAAACGCCATGACCTGCCGTTCTGCAGACCTAAGCCAGGTTATACTTTCACCGTCAGAGGCTATGCTGAACAGCAACCTCACTGCTTCCTTTAAATGCTCTTATTCCTTCAGGTTTCATTTCTCTTTTTTGTCACTTTTCTTCCATCATTTCTATCACACTTCTTAGTCTTTACTCTCAAACGGGCTGGTATTTATAATGACCCATTTATCAGAACATTTCTTTTGCTCAGGACAGAATTTTTAAAGTGGACAAGCAAAGCCTAACGTCCCTTCCAGCCCTGCAATACTATGCAGTCTACACAGAAGTAGAAAAGTGCTCTTCTCACTCATTGGCTTTGCTTCAAGAAATGGGCCCGCTTCTGCAATGATGAAGACCAGCTCACTCAAACCTTGGTTCCCATGAAAATAACTGAAGAGCTTCCAGAATACAATGATAGTCCCAAAGGGATCTGATGTGACTGACCAACATACACAAGGCAACCTCAGAAACGCCATCAGGAACAATGAAAATGGTACAATAAATGTGCTCATCCATCCATATACTTACAGCCAAGTCTCGGCCATCTCTGCTTCAGTCGTCTCTTCACATTTTGTTTGCATGTAAAAGATGTGTGACAGGCAAGGTCCATGACCCCTCTGCCCTCTTCATTTTCATAAGCCACATTCTGTGTGAGATTCATTTCTAAAAAACAAAATCCCAAAACTATCCATTGACACATATAACAACTCAAATGATAAGACATTCTCACATAATTGTTTTATCTAGATGACTGCCTTAGTTATCAACAGTACTGAAGTCTGCCCAAAATTTGTTGGAAAAAGAAAAATCCATTTCCCCAAATAAAACAGCTCTTTGATGACAGACAAGCCAACCGTGCTCATAAAAACAAGTCGATAATTCAGAAGGAGAAATAAAGAAAAACAGTGCTAAGACATAGAAAGGTACATTTCTGCTAGAACTCTCATGAAAGATACAATTTCTGAGCAATTCTCCTTTCACTAGTGTATTTGAAATTTTGTTTGAACTATGGAACACATATTTTAACCTAAAAGATTGACACAGGCCACATGAAAATATATCCTATTCAAAATGTACAAATACTTCTTTTTTTATAGTTACAATGACAGTTTATTATAAAGGACACAAGTGAACCGCCAGATGAAGAGACACGCAGAGCAGCAAGGTGTGGAGGGGTGCTGGGTACAGAGCTTTTGTGTCCTCACGAACTGGCCTTTCTAGCATATCAGTACATTCATCATGCAGGAAGCTCTCCAAGCCTTATTGCTGAGGGGTTTTATTTACGTTTCATTTTCTAGGTATAATTGTTTAAATCACTGGTCATGTAATTGGGCTCAATTCTAACCCCTTTCATCTCCCCAGAGATTGAGAGGGCAAAAGTTTCTACCCTCTAATTACATGATTGGTTTTTCCGGCAGACATCCTTTATCCTGAAGCCATCCAGCCAGTCTTCCAGCCCCACATCCATGAACCATCTTGCTGGCATAAATTCAGGTGTGGTCCAATAGGGGTTGTATGAATAGCAAGACACTCTTATTCAGAAAATTCCTAGGGTTTGTGAAGCTCAGTGCCAGGAACTTGAGACAAAACCCAAATGTACTTTTAAATTATACCACAAACTTGGAATTTGAGAATGGTTAGTACCTGTTGGAAGTGATTGGCACCTATCTAAAAGCCTCAGTCAAAAGTGAGAGGTGAAGAATATTATTTTAACATCCTATTACAGAGTGAAAGTGCAATGGAACTACTGCAACGTAACATTAGTTCAGATAGGACAAATATGGCCTTTAAATTGGGGTGTGATTAGTTTTAATTGTTCTTAGATTTTTTTCACCGAGCTAGGTCATTTTAAGTGAAAGAAAATGATGGAGATCAAAGAAATTGTCGAAAAATTGCCTCCATGATAACTAGCGACATAGTTTCAATATTTGTTATAAACACCCTGTAGCAACTGCTTTTAGCGAACCAATTTAGATGAGATTCCCTGTGTATCAAAGCCATGAGAACAATGGCATATAATGAGAAGGATATTTTCCTATTTTGAAAGGTTTGTGCTTAGAATCTATGTGCTTATAAATCTTAATAGAGGTTTGGAAAGGAATGACTTATCAGTTAATAGGAATACTTGAGTCATCAGCGCTTCTGGTGGGGGAAAAGGCAGTGACCAGAGAACCACTTAATAAAAGTGAAAAAACTAATACTGTTCCTTTGAGACGCATTTTTACTAAAACTATGTTTTCTTTTCATTTGAAAATCAGAACCTATGGCCTATTTAACTACAGTGAAAATAGCTGTTTTTAATAATTGAGTCTATCAAATATGATGTTATGCATGTAGATAACGTAATACACTTTCTTTAAAGTAATATAAACCTAATCGTATTCACATATTTACAGATGAGCAAAAGTGTTTTAGCATCTAGTGACACATTTAGGTAGAAGGTACCTATTTTTTAACTGTATTATTTTAATTATAATCTAAATAAAAACTTTTTTATTCTGTTTTTCAAGCCCACTTACTGTCTTTTTTCAATGGACTCATGACATTCACATGTTCTGTTTTCACAAGTTGGTGATGAAAGCGTATTAGGTGAAATTAATTCTATGGTCACTAATAGGATTCAGAGATGCTGTGCCCACAGTTTCTCAAAGGGACACTGTAGGAGTCTCAGTTTGTAAACATCCATCCGTGTGCAAAACTGTCTCTGCATCTGATGCTACATGCTCATGCTGATGAGAAGACTGTGCCTCCTCATACAGGGTCAGTCAGGTCAAAACCACTTTTGTGGGCATTTGCATCATGAAAATTACAGAGACGAGTGTCACACTAGCAGCCTGAGGGTCTTCAGTGGAACATCTTCTCTTGCATTTTCCTTTAAAAAAGAATCAGTAACAGATTCAATAGTAAATTTTATGTTTCACAACTCATTGTAACATTTATGGGAAAACTCAGTTGATGATATAAAAGCTTTCTTATATGAAGAAACAATATACAGTACTTACCATATTCCAGACTACCTGTGAACCAAAGATAAGCAGTTGACCGAAACCAAAAGCTATGATGTGGTCAAGAGAAATACACAAATCAACAGATTCAGATACTCCTGGGCCCCAGACACCAACAGATTCAGACACCAAAAGTGGGTCCTGTGTATCCATTACACGAGAGAATGATAGAAATGTCAGCTTAACTTTTGTCATTACCGATCAATGTCTCTACAAGGGTGGTCAGCCTATTAGTGTGACCAGCTTCCTAAAATTAGTACGAATAGCAGCCCCTGAAAACACAGACATATATATACTATATATGCTTTAAATATGTATAATAATATATATGTTAATATATATAATTATATATAGTTTACATAAATATATGTGATTATATATACTTATATAATATATACTTATATAAATATATAACATTATATATATTAATGTATATAATATACATACCTTATGTAAATATATATATTATATACTTTATATATTTTTTGTATTTTCATGTGGAATGCATTTAAACATATGTATAAAATATATATAATATATATTTTATTTTTATATGCATTTATATTTATATTTATATTTATATTTATATTTATATTTATATTTATATTTCTTTGGATATATACCCAATGATGGGACTGCTGGGTCAAATGGAATTTCTATTTCCAGGTCCTTGAGGAATTGCCACACTGTCTTCCATAATGATTGGACTAATTTACCCTCCCACCAGCAGTGTAAAAGTGTTCCTATTTCTCCACATCCTCTCCAGCATCTGTTTTCTCCCGATTTTTTAATGATTGCCTTTCTAACTGGCGTGAGATGGTATCTCAATGTAATTTTGATTTACATTCCTCTAATGACCAGTGATGATGAGCATTTTTTCATATGTTTGTTGGCCTCATATATGTCTTCGTTTGAAAAGTGTCTGTTCATTTCCTTTGCCCAGTTTTGAATGGGCTTTCTTTTTTTCTTGTAAATCTGTTTTAGTTCTTTGTAGATTCTGGATATCAGCCCTTTGTCAGATGGATAGATTGCAAAAAATTTTTCCCATTCTGTTGGTTTCTGATTCACTCTAATGACAGTTTCTTTTGCTGTGCAGAAGCTGTGGAGTTTGATTGGGTCCCATTGGTCTATTTTGGCTTTTGTTGCCAATGCTTCTGTTGTTTTAGTCATGAAGCCCTTGCCTATGCCTATGTCCTGAATGGTTATGCCTAGATTTTCTTCTAGGGTTTTTATGGTGATAGGTCTTATGTTTAAGTCTTTAATCCATCTGGAGTTAATTTTAGTGTAAGGTGTCAGGAAGGAGTCCAGTTTCTACTTTCTGCACATGGCTAGCCAGTTTTCCCAACACCATTTCTTTAACAGGGAATCCTGTCCCCATTGCTTGTTTTTGTCAGGTTTCTCAAAGATCAGATGGTTGTAGATGTGTGGCGTTGCCTCCGAGGCCTCTGTTCTGTTCCATTGGGCTATATCTCTGTTTTGGTACCAATACCATGCTGTTTTGATTACTGTAGCCTTGTCGTATAGTTTGAAGTCCAGTAGCATGATACCGCCAGCTTTGTTATTTTTGCTTAGAATTGACTTGGCTATGCAGGTGCTCTTTTGGTTCCATATGAAGTTTAAGGTGTTTTTTTCCAGTTCTGTGAAGAAGACCATTGGTAGCTTGATGGGGATAGCATTGAATCTGTAAATTGCTTTGGGCATTATGGCCATTTTCACGATATTGATTCTTTCTACCCATGAGCATGGAATGTTTTTCCATCCGTTTGTGTCCTCTCTTATTTCCTTGAGCAGTGGTTTCTAGTTCTCCTTGAAGAGGTCCTTGATGTTCTTTGTTGTAATCCTTATTTTATTCTCTTTGTAGCAATTGTGAATGAAAGTTTGTTTTGATTTGGCTTCCTTTAAGTCTGTTATTGGTGTATAGGAATGCTTGATTTTTGCATATTGATTTTGTATCCTGAGACTTTGCTGAAGTTCCTCATCAGTTTCAGGATGTTTTGGGCTGAAACGATGGGGTCTTCTAGATATACAATCATGTCATCTGCAAATAGAGACAATTTGATTTCCCCCTTTCCTAATTGAATATCCTTTATTTCTTTTTCTTGCCTGATTGCTTTGGCTGAAACTTCCAGTACTATATTGAATAGGAGTGGTGAGAGAGGGCATCCTTGTCTAGTGCCAGATTTCAAAGGGAATGCTTCCAGTTTTTGCCCATGCAATATGATATTGGCTGTTGGTTTGTTGTTAATAGCTTTTATTATTTTGAGACATGTTCCATCAATACCTAGTTTATTGAGGGTTTTTAGCATAAAGGGCTGTTGAATTTTGTCAAAGGCCTTCTCTGCATCAATTGAGATAATCATGTGGTTTTTGTCCTTGGTTCTGTTTATGTGGTGAATTACGTTTGTAGACTTGTGTATGTTGAACCAGCCTTGCATCCCGGGGATGAAGCCTACTTGATCATGGTAGATAAGCTTTTTTGACGTGCTGTTGCAATCCGTTTACCAGCATTTTATTGAAGATTTTTGCATCAATGTTCATCATGGATATTGGTCTGAAGTTTTCTTTTCTTCTTGAGTCTCTGCCAGGTTTTGGTATCAGGATGACATTGGTCTCATGAAATGATTTGGGAAGGATTCCCTCTTTTTGGATTGTTTGGAATAGTTTCAGAAGGAAGGGTACCCGCTCCTCTTTGTATGTCTGGTAGAATTCGGCTGTGAACCCATCTGGACCTGGGCTTTTTTTGGTTGGTAGGCTATTCATTGCTGCCTCAACTTCAGCCCTTGTTATTGGTCTATTCAGGGTTTCGTCTTCTTCCTGGTTTAGGCTTGGGAGGAGGCAAGGGTCCAGGAATTTATCAATTTCTTTCAGGTTTACTAGTTTATGTGCATAGAGTTGTTTGTAATAATCTCTGATGATGGTTTGAATTTCTGTGGAATCTGTGGTGATATTCCTTTATCGTTTTTTATTGTATCTATTTGATTATTCTCTCTTTTCTTTTTTATTAATCTGGCTAGTGGTCTGTCTATTTTGTTGATCTTTTCAAAAAACCAGCTCCTGGATTTATTGATTTTTTGAAGGGTTTTTTGTGTTTCTATCTACTTCAGTTCTGCTCTGATCTTAATTATTTCTTGTCTTCTGCCAGCTTTTGAGCTTTTTTGATCTTGCTCCTCTAGCTCTTTCAGTTTTGATGATAGGGTGTCAATTTTAGATCTTTCCTTGCTTCTCATGTGGGCATTTATTGCTATATATTTTCCTCTAGACACTGCTTTAAATGAGTCCCAGAGATTCTGGTATGTTGTGTCTTCATTCTCATTGGTTTTGAAGAACATCTTTATATCTGCCTTCATTTCATTGTTTATCCAGTCAACATTCAAGAGCGAGTTGTTCAGTTTCCATGAAGCTGTGTGGTTCTGAGTTAGTTTCTGAATTCTGAGTTCTAACTTGCTTGCACTGTGTTCTGAGAGACTGTTTTTTATGATTTCCATTCTCTTGCATTTGCTGAGGAGAGATTTACTTCTGATTATGTGGTCAATTTTAGAGTAGGTGTGATGTGGTGCTGAGAATGTATATTCTGTGGATTTAGGGTAGAGAGTTCTGTAAACGTCTATTAGGTTTGCTTGTTCCAGGTCTGATTTCAAGTCCTGGATATCCTTGTTAATTTTCTGTCTCACTGATCTGTCTCATTGACAGTGGAGTGTTAAAGTCTCCCACTGTTATTGTATGGGAGTCTAAGTCTCTTTGTAAGTCATTAAGAACTTTCCTTATGTATCTGGGTGCTCCTGTATTGGGTGTGTATATATTTAGGATCATTAGCTCTTCTTGTTGCATTGATCCTTTTACCATTATGTAATACCCTTCCTTGTCTCCTTTGATCTTTGTTGGTTTAAAGTCTATTTTATCAGAGACTAGGGTTGCAACTCCTGCTTTTTTTTGCTCTCCATTTGCTTGGTAAATCTTCCCCCATCCCTTTATTTTGAGCCTTTGTGTATCCTTGCGTGTGAGATGGATTTTCTGGATACAGCACACTGATGTGTTTTGGCTTCTGATCCAATTTGCCAGTCTGTGTCTTTTGATTGGGGCATTTAGCCCATTTACATTTAGGGTTAATATTGTTATGTGTGAATTTGATCCTGCCATTTTGATGCTAGCTGGTTGTTTTGCCTGTTAGTTGATGAAGTTTCTTCATTGTGTCGATGCTTTTTACCATTTGGTATGATATTGGCTGATTTCCAATTCTTGGGCCAAAGTGATCCTCCTGTCTTGGCCTCCCAAAGTGCTGGGATTATAGGTGTGAGCCACCATGCCTGGCCACTGACACTTACATATGTGAAACTATGTACAGAATATAAACTACTAAAAAACATAAACATAAAAATATTATGTCTTACTATAACTTACTGTACCATGGATTTGTTAAAAACTAAAGTAAAAGTCATTTAAGAAAATAATACAAAGTATAAAACATCTATCAAAATTACAAAAATTCCAGAAAAACTGGACAAAAATCCAAAAACACTAATAAAACAATTGAACAATTTCTTAAGCAATAAAACATAAGCTACAATGACATAGTGACAGCTTGTGCCTTACAAAAAGCAGATTAAAGTAAGAATTTTGTTTTTTTGAGATAAGAGTCTGGCTGTCACCAGGCTGGACTGCAATGGCACAATCTGGGCTCACTGCAACCTCCACCTCCAGGGTTCAAGTGATTCTCCAGTTTCAGCCTGCCGAATACTGGGATGGCAGGTGCCCGCTACCACATCCAGCTAATTTTTGTATTTTTAGTACAGACATGGTTTCACCATGTTGGCCAGATTGATCTCCAACTCTTGACTAGCGATACGCCTGCGTCACCTTCCCAAAGTGCTGGGATTACAGGCATGAGCCACCATGCCCGGCCTAAAGTAAGAATATTTTTTAAAAAAATTAAACGAGAGAATATAAAAGTCCAGAGAGTGTAGCACAATCCCCAAAACTCTCACAATTCAGATGGTCGCTGGGCCATGGTCAGGTCTTGTGTCTTGGCCCTTCCAGATGTTCGAA